TATGCTTTAATTTATATTTTTTTACTACTGTATTATAGGATCTGTTTCAAATTGATATTGATACATTAATGGCGGAAATGACTGTTGCAAAAAATGCTTTTCAAACTGTGTATCAAGATCAGGTATTAGGTGATCCAGAGCAAATGAAAAGTATCATAAATGAAGCTACTTTTCCAAATCTATACAAACTCCTTAGTGTTGCATATACTTTGCCAATAAGTAGTGCAACTTGTGAAAGGTAATTTTCTGCGATGAGGTGAGTCATAACATGGTTACGGTCTACTATGATACAAGAACGGTTTTCAAATGTATCTATCATTCATATTGAGAGAGACATATCAAACAATATTAACAGTGAAGACATTTTAAACGATTTTTCAAGTGCTAACAATAGAAAAATACCGTTAATATATTAAAATGTTACCTACTATAAAGTTGACTTGTTTTCTTTTTTCTAACTCCCATATTAAAGGTAAACAAATTAAGTTATAATAATAATTAATATTACATTTTTAAGAAACTAGTAAGATACTAATTACTAGTGGTTGCTATAAAATGTTGAGTAGAGTATACCATTTTTATGATAGGCTTACATTACTCACGATAGTGTCACATACATAAAAAAAAACAAATTGTTGTAAAGCCAATATTATGTTTCTTCTCTTGGTTCAGAATCTAAAATTTGTTTTGATTGTATGTAGGGACTAGGAGGGGATGGCACCCTATGGGATATTTTAAGTTCATAGTTTTGTTAGGAGGCTGTAGCCCCCCCAGAATTTTAACCCTAGTTGCGCCTATGCTTATCTCTTACGAATGATTCATGCTGTAATGTATTCAATTTTTCAAATCAGGCCTATCCCAAACCGATTCACTTCGATGAAATAAAAAATATTAAATTTAATAAAGAAGCGTTCAATAAAATAAATAAACAATTAGACCAACAAGATATGTTACTAAATTCGCTTATTGTAGATAAAACGTATGGATTTATATACACAAACAAATATTTAGTTGTCATAATAATAGTGTTTTTATTATATTTTATAGCAAAATGTTATTTAAATAGGAAAGCAAAAAAATCAGCTATAGAAAACATTAATTTAAGTTATAATCCTCCAAAATCTACAAATTAATTTAGCAAAGGTTCTTAGTACGTATTTATATACCTACCTAATATTAAGTATTATTATATTATATTATAAATTATTATATAATTGTCAAATACCATTCACAACATTTATATTATTTTTTCGGAAGTCAATAATTAGTATATATGTATTTTGTTTATCTTACTTTTTTTCTACACTTATATATTGTATAAATGTTCTTGTATAAATATATTTTATTTTATAACATACTTTAATAAAATTGTTCAAATAATCAAATGTATAATAATATGTATAATTGTATTGAAATAAATCACCTTTATAATTTTAATTTTATTTGTTACTTTTAAACTTTTAAAGTAATTACTAATTTGTATAGTTGTGTTGTAACGGTATCTAATACACTAATTATTTGATGAGATAAGTTTTAATTTTTATAAATTCTTATATTTTTAACACAATAAATAATATATATTATATAGAAATTATATTTAAATGTTTTTGAAGAGGTTTTTATAGATGTTTTATATAACATATAGGACTCGATTTTCGATATTTTATTTTCAAAATCCATAAAATCGTTTTGCATTTTTTGTTTTTTGTTTTCACTTTTTCGATTTGTGAATAATTGGTATTTGGTATAATAAATTAAAATTTCAAAAATCTAGTCCTATACGTTAACAGATTTAACTCTCCTCTATAACTTTTATAATAGGTTTTTTGCTCTAAAACAGTTAGCCGTGTTTTTGGAACTAAAAAAATAAGTTTTTTCTCACAGCCGCGGCTATCACGGCAATACGGTAATGTAAGGACGGTTACGACTTACGGGCATCGTAATAAATGGAGCATAATTTTATTTTGTTTTATTTCACGTAAATAATAATATAAAAATAATGCAACGACGGGCGAGCGCGGACCGCCGATAACAGACCGGTTTTGACCTGCCGGCGGCGAGAGCGCCTGGATGTCAGAGCTAGGAGGGGACAAACGCTGCCGCTAGAAACGACAGCAGCACATGACGGCCGCAATTAAATTTTTTTCTGTAAAACATGCCAATTTTGTTCCAATAATACGGCTTACTGGATGGTTTTAGAGCAAAATACCTTAATTAAAAGTTGTAGAGGAGAGTTATATCGGGTAACGTATAAGACTCGATTTTTGATATTTCGTTCTCAAAATCGATAAAATCGTTTTGCGTTTTCACTTTTTTTTCACTTTTTTACATGTGAATAATTGGTATAAAAAATTAAAATATCAAAAATCGAGTCTTATACGTATTTATAATCAATGCTAATATTATGATAAAGCTAAAGAGTTTGTTTATTTGGTTGCTTGAACGCGCTAATCTAAGGAACTACTGGTTCGAATTGAAAAATTATTTTTTTTGTTGGATAGTCCATTCAACGAGGAAGGCTATATACGCTATGGTGTCCCGAAAATTGGGCGCTGCGACAATTAAGCGCTGAGACATATGAGCGCTTTATAATATTATACTGAACTGAGTAAAAGTTCATAAAAGTTCACTGTATTAAGTGCAAAACTGCTGTATACGAAATGACGAAATTAAAATTGAATTCGTTCGCAGTGTCTGTGAATACCTATATAACCCGTCACATAATCTTTATGTTTGATGATAACTATTAATCAGATAATGTTATTACTTATTTGCCGCATCGTTCGTTATCGTATGGAAATAGAATAAAATTCCAACGACGATAACGCAGCAGTAGACGTATGTTTTTACTATATTTTCACACGTTGTGCACTGAACACTACTCAATTTATTGTACTTAACATTTTAATTTTTTTAAATCATAATTTTAATAATAAAATGGAAATCATTAAAAGTGAAAAAGGTCGAGACCTTCTATGCTATAACGGATATTTATATAGATTTGACAAAAACAGTAGTTGGTGATGTATCGAATGCAATACGAAAAAATGTCGTGGTCGTATTAATTTGAAGGATGGTCAAATTATTCATGAAAGTGAAAAAGAGCACAACCATACACCTGATATTGCAAAAATTGAAGCCAGAAAAGCAATGCAATTTTTAAAAACAATAGCAAAACATACTGAACTTAGTACTCAAGCAGTTTTAGGTGCATTATCTTTACAGGTAAATATAATATAAATATAATATTAATAGTTATGAGATCATTAATTATATAACTGTATAATATATATAAAATATGTATATTATATATTTATATATTTTTATCATTATTATTATTTTTTTTGTTTTGTAAATATGTTTTAAAATTATTTTTATTTATATGCAAAAATAACTTTCAACTAAATTAAATCGTTAGTCGATTTGTATCGACTTGTTATAATTATTACTTTCGTGTTTTAGAAATAAAAAAAAATTAAAATATTTTATTTTTTAAAAATCATTATTATTATTGTAGGTTACTGAAGCGGTTGCTGGTCAATTACCAGCTGTTGAATCCATACGCTATATAACATCATGCTACGGCCAATTAATAGAAGTGCTCAAACAGGGATTTTGAGTTTTACGATGGAAATATTTGTTTATAAATGGTTGCTTTATTGGTGATAGAAGAAATAATTAATAGAAATAGTATTTATTTATTATTGGTTGCTATTGCAGGTCAATTGGGCAGATCAGGTACAAGCATGCATCAAATTGAATTTTCGCACATAGCCTACCAGGGTGACTGAGTTGGTATCGGATTACGTGTTCGAAAATGATATGTTCTTTATTTTATTTAGCACCACATTTTTTGACACAGATCCAATAGTACACATTTTCATTATCCCGTTTACGAAAATTATTTTTATTAAACATAAATTCATACTCATTAACTAATAAAGTAATAACATATGCTTATTATGTATAGTAGATATTAATTTTATAGTACACGTCGACACATTCGTTCGCTATTTCATTCGGTCTGACAATCGGAAATATACTGCAGCAGTAGGTAAATTACAGTCGGGACCTATGTTACAGAAACCCATATTATGATAACGCTTACTAAAATATAACGAGTAGATAAAATGTATTGCTCTATATTATCAGATACTATATATTAGGCCGGAGCCAGACGACTGCGACGAGGGAAACGCGCCATAATGTTAATTGTTGAATATAAGTCTTAAATAACTGGCTTTCCTTGGTTAACGGTATAATAGTCGGAATATACTATAGATAATACTATAATAGATATCTTAATATCTATAATATCAAAAAAATAAATACAAAGTTTTCGAACAAAAATTCATCCGAACATATGCTTTTTCGAACACATTTTATTCGAACATATAACCCCTCATCGACTGAGCTGCACTTACTGAAGTGAGTTACACCAAAAAGGAGTTGAACAATCACAATTTTTTTGTCATTTTTTATGGGCCACGAAGTGTGCAGGATCAGCTATATTATATATAAATGAATGTTTGTGTGTAGATCTCTGGGAAGAAGATGGACTAATTTAAAAAGGGTTAAATTTGATTATATTAATCCAACGTATTATATCAAAACAAACTTGGTATAACATTGATACTTTAGATGAGTTAGATCATACACTTACGTACAAACAGCACTGTGTCCGCGATCTACCGCAGGTAGATTGCCTACCTGATAATATACTGCCGCGAATCACATTTTTTAATCCAGACAACGGAAATGTTAAGATAAATTTTGAACACCATACACCGAATATTAAATAACGAATTGAACAAAGTTTGAGTCATATATAGAGATTAGAGTTGGTACATTTAAAGGGCAACGAAATGCACAGGATCAGCTAGTATCATATATATTTAAAAATGTATATTTAATTTTAAATGCAGATACTATATATAAAAAAGTATTTAAAATGTTATGTCCAAGCTTTTTTTTTTTTTTTGAGAAGAATTGTTTTTTCATCAAACGTTGTCTGATTCAGCGATGATTTTGTCGTAGTAGACAGAGACATCGCGTTTGAAATTACAATCGAGTTCAAAGCATCTAAATAAAAATATATATTTAAATAACACATTGTAAGCTAGTTTAATAAATAAATAAAATCGGTTCGTACTTCATTGATACACTTTCTCTCTTGTTCAGACCGTACATGTGTGCGTACAGCGAACTCGCAAATGCGTGGCAACGTAACCAATTTTGTGGAAGTGAAAAAGGGCTATCACACATTGCTATCACCTTGCTTGGATACAGACTTTCGTAGCGCTCTTTCGAAAATTGACCATCGTGACCAATTATCGGACACAACGCTTTTTTCATCCAGTTGCAGATTAACTCATTCAGCGACTGGTACAACAACTCATCAAACTCAGTGATCTCGAACTCGACATCGAATTTATCACTGTCCCGAATGTACAACCGCCGGAAACATGAAACCATTTTAGATTTCATACTTTCTGACAACGGTAATTTCACGTAAGACATCGACCCAATTTTAGGCGGTTGACGGTTATCCAGAAACTTTTGGACCTCGGTATGCTTTAAGACTCTGGTTGAGATGTCGACGTTGTGTAAGATGGCGTATCGCGATAGCAAAAAAATGTGATGGTAATAAAAATTATCAATTGCGGTGCATAACACACTGTCGACTTCCCAGAGCAATAGGAAAAATTCTGGTAAAATGCTGATCACGTCACTTTTATTCACAATGGTTTGACGTTCTTCGGAAACGGTAGTAGAGGCGTACCATAGACTAACGTCGGATGACAGCAGATTCCTCCGAATCGCCCTCACTTGTGCAGCCTTGCTCATAATAAATTCGAAATTTTGATCTAGTTTTTTAAACATTGCTGAAAAGGTACGTGCTGTCAAGATATAGTTCACTTTCATTTCGGTAAAAAAAGCGCACCACAGATTCCGGTCGCTGTTCTCGATATACGGCCAAACTTTCGATATGTTATTTTTAAGAAATAATAGACAATTCTTCGGTATGATGTCCTTATCCAGATCAAACTTTGCTAATTCTTTAAAATTCGTTAAAAATAACCCAATACCCTCTTCCCGAGTCCCTAACCTGTAAAGAAAACATAATCTCTGGAACAAATACTGGAGTAGGCATTTAAAATCACGTCTGGATTTGCTTTCGTTGTAACATATTAGATCGATGGTGGACCGGCTCCAATAGTCGAAGACTAGCGCTTCGATTTCGCCTTCTATGAAATTAAATCGAACTGTCTTGGTCTTACCGCGACGTGTAGATTCGGAATCAAAATAATTATTATTTAAGAAAACGGACGATAGAAACAACTCAAGATCTAACCAATACTTCTCCGGTATAAGACCATTCCGTAAGGGGTAACGCAAAATATCCAAGACGTTATTACTGACTGAGTGCACTGGATCCAAATCCAGGTCTGCGTTTTCGGTGTACTCTATAAGGCATCTACCAATGGAGGACGGTAAAAATGTAAATTTGCAATTGTGTTTGTTTTCGAATTCATGAAGTGCCTTGTACAAATTAACCATTCCGGTTGGTGCTGCGATCCGTCTCCACTCTTTATTGTTTGTACCGTAAAAAGGTTGATTTAGCTTCTGATCCATACAAAATTTTGAATGAGTCGGAATTTTTTGTATAGTCGTTTCATAACTTTTCTGTAAACGTTCTCTAAACAGAACACTGTGCGAATCAATGCTTGAAGCTGACTTCGCGGCATCGGCAGTCCATTCCCAAATATTCGGTCCAATATTGGTCTCCAATACTATATTTTCTGTCGTGAATCTGCAATACTATGGTTTCCATTGACCAAGTTTTAAAGTTTCCCTTATCGATGCCTGGGTGGTGTTTGACAGTTGGTTATTTTCGTCGTCTTCTTCATCGTCGTCATCTTCTTCATCGTCGTCGTCTTCTTCATCGTCGTCCGTTCTTCTATAACTTGTTGACTAAAAACAAAACAGGTGGGTATAATGAATCATTGTATACAAAAAACAATTCTGAAAGAAAAGTTTGTCAACCTATATTATAATTTATAACTAAGTATATTTTATGAAATGATCATTGCTATTAAAGTAATTTATTTTACTATTATAAATTACCTATGTAATAATACAGTAGCAAGTAGGTTTAATTAATTTTAATATGACAAAAAATTGCATTTAAAAATGTCATTGTGTCTACAAAATACAATAATATACTTTAAAAGAACAAAAAAAGATTTAAAGAGAATATGGTTATCTGTCGATATTAAAACTAAGTATATGTTATGATATTATAGCTATTTAAGTAATTTATCGTAAGTAATACAGTATCCAGTAGGTTGGTTGATTAAATTTTTGCCTAAAACTTGCATTTAAAAATGTCTTTGTGTGTAAAAATATTATAATATAGGTAGGTACTTTAAAAGTTTCAAGTACCCACGAATAATATTTATAAATTACAACAAAATAATTAAAGTTGTTATTCTTTGTTAAAATATATTTAAATAAAACTGTGTTTGTATATTTTATAAATTTTTTGGTTACAGCATAAGCTACATAGAATAAATCTTGTTTTATTTTTTGATCATAAGCTATAAAATTAAATATTTTATAAATTTGTAACTTCAAAATATTTTGCATATTTTCAAGATTTTCATGAATTGTATCGAAATTTAAACTTTTAATTTTTGTAAAAAATTGTAAAATATATGTATATAAATAACTCAAAAAGAGTCAACATTATTTTAAATTGTATCATGTAAGTATAAAAAATGATAAAATAAAGATTTGGTGAAAATCCAAATACGAGTACTTATGTCTTATATGTATACGGTTATTCGTTTATTGACGAATTTTATCGAAATTTTAATATCAGATGCCCATAAAAAATTCCTGTGGATTTGCTCTCAACTTCTGTAATATATTTTCAATTATTTTGAATAATTTTTTATCGACAGTAGTTTATAAAAAAAATATATAAATTTAAATTATGGATAGTATGGGTATAAAATATATTTTGATCAAATGACAAATAGAGACATAGAGTTCTAATTAAAAGTGTAATGGCGAGTAGAAAATAATAATTGCTAATAACAACATTCGGTAAAAATTGTAAATATCTGTAATTATTTGTTTTTGATTTGCAACAAAAAAAACTAAATAGATTTTGCATAAAAATTCACGTTTTTCCTTAATTTTATTTTTCCGAAAAAAATAACTGGGAATTTTCAATTTTAAACTCTCGAATGTATAAACTAAATTTCTGGCCAGAAAAGTACTGAAGTTGAAAATTAAAAAATTTGTTTGACTATACCTACTTATCGTGTACACAGACACAAAAATAATAAAAACGAAACCAAATATCATTGTGAAATCAATACATTCATCATTCCTCTCAGAATCTATGACGTAATGAAAACTTTTGGAAAAAAATGACTTAGTTTAACTAAATTTTATTAAAATTAAACTATTAAATCTTACATCACTCGACACTGGATGTGTTGTACAATCGAGACTTACATCATCATATTCGTGTTTGAACGATGAAGAGCTCGATGAACTCCTTTGGCGTTTCGATTGCGACGAACTGTTATCAGACTAAAACACACATACCGACGATATATTAAAACAAATGTTTGCGTATGTAAGCAAATAAGTGATAAGCGGGCGCAGAACACGAATAATTGTATGTAATAATATTACATAGGAAATTACAACAGAAAGCATTCAATGTAGATAATCTGAGCCTCTAATAGCTAATCTATAACTTGTTGACTAGCAACAAAACAAAAGAGGTTGGCAAGTGGATATATAGAATCATTGTTGTACTCTCGAGACTTACTTCATCTTCGTGTTTGGACGATGAAGAGTTCGATGAAATCCTTTGGCGTTTCGGTTGCGACGAACTGTTATTAGACTAAAACACAAATACCGAAAATATTATATTAAAACAAAATAATGTATGCTTACGTAAGCCAACAATACTGCGCGGACACAGAATACGAAAAAATGTTACATGTAAATTAATACTACATAATATTATTTATTCGAAACGAGAGACTCACGAGAGTCATGCTGGAATTCCGGTCTGCTGTCGATGACGTGGTAGCAACGTTGTGCGAATCGTCCGATAACTTGATACTCACGGGGATCGACGGTCGCTTACGATGTTGGTCCTATATGACAACCGTATACGGAAAAAAATAATAATCTGTAGAAACCTAAACGTATTTCTAAACACAGCTACAGCTGCATGAGTGGGTCAATTAAAGTTCCATAACGAAAATTCACTTACGGGTTTTTTTTCATTCACCGCTACATCATCGTTCTTACCACCCATATCCATCGAACGCGGTAATATGTTGTCGGCTTCCGTAGAACCAACTACGCGGGTGGTTTCGGCGGGATTATTATTGCAAGATTCAATTGGAATATTTATGGACTCTTGTACAGGTGTACATGATGGTGGTGGTCGAATTCCATCAATCTTTATTTCATTTAACATAAGTGATCGCCTCAAGGGTTCAATATATTTCTGAAAACAAATATTGAAATAATTTGAATTATTAATGTCAACATTTATGCATAGAAAAAATAATATTAAAGGATCACACATCACAAAAAAATATTTACTTCAAATTATTTTTAAAAATTAAACTATTGTGGTTAGAACTTAGAACAGTTAAATAATAGGTTACAACCATTAAATAAGACTTGGTAAAAATTCAATGTAAAAAAACTAACCACCTAATGTGAATAGACGGCCCGCGGCCTATATATATAGTATTACTAAGAATATACTTTCATAATATTATTGTCATTAAAGTAATATTGTGAAACGGATTTTAAATATGTTTCGATGTTTGGTACAAAATAGGAAACAAATAATAATACTCTGTAGTGCCAAAAAGCCAAACGGGTTAAGCACCCTATCACCTGCTATAGGTGTTTGGACCGCATCTGATTGTTAAATTTAAAAAAGAGGAGATAATGGGGGCCCCTTGATGTACAATGGCATTGAATTTTTTAAACACTTCGGCACCACTGTTAGGTACAATAAAAGTTCAAAAATATACTTTAAAGGTATATAAATTATTGTGTGTTTTACATGTAGAGATAGGCAATTATGGCAAGCCCGACCCAATGGCATAACGAGTCTTGATTCAACAACTCATAACTCATTGAATAATATAAGAAGTCTAATAATCGAATAGTGTAAGTTAAACCTATGGCAAAACCAATTTTCCTATACTCTGTTCTAAATGAGATCGTATCCCGGGACGCCGTCTCCAATACAACGACGCATTGGGTGCTGCCACGCACATGCGCACAACTTGGCCGCTTGGGGTACGATCTTATTTATAACAGAGTATAGAATTGAACATTCTTACAAATTAAAAAAGAATTATTTCTGTGCTCTTTTAAAGTTAATTATGTATAATAATAAATGATACCTTGAGGAAACCAATAAGGCGCGGTTGTGGTGAAGCATTTAGAAGTTTCTCTAGTCGATCACAAAACTGTTCTGGTTCCACCTTGGCATCAACCAGTTCTTGTATAAAGGTTCGCACACTTCTTTCTACAGGTTTAGGTTCTTTACTTGAAAATTCAAGTAAATTGGCTAAAAATTTGAGGCATTTTTCTTTAGTATTGTCTTGTTGAATTTTTTGATGCGCCTGAAAAATAAATAAACTATAAATATCTCTAGTAACTTAAATTAGATAAATTGTTTAACAATACCTGTTGAGGTTGAGCTATCGTTTGGGTTGGTGTTGTAGTTGGTGTACCAGCAATGGAAACATTGTTCTGAAATAGTAATTCTTCAAATTTCAATCAATTTAAACATACACATAGATCTACACTGTTTAATTAAGACTTGTTTCAAAACATTTACAACTATCTATTTAAAAAGTAAGTTAGGATGGGAAGTTTATTATTTTATCAGGTAACTATTATTTAAATAAATTAATAGAGCAAAAAGATATTAATTATGAATAATAATATAAATTATTTTGGCTAACTAAAACTACAACATAAATAATGATTAGTGATTGGATTCCAAAGCATTTGTATCTGTTTTTTTATTGCCTGATGAGATACTTTTCAAGCTACTAATGTGTTTTAGTTGCATGCTATTTCAATAATCGATTTTTTTAAAGAAATTCAGAGCAAACCCAAAATTTAAAAATAAGTAAAAATAGAAGAAATATAATAAAATCAAAAAAATAGCTTTAAAATTAAAGTTTTATCTTTTTACTATCACATGTCCTATGTCCTAATCTGGTTTTAAAATTACATGAATCATATTTTTATTAGTGACGAAAGTGTCAAGTGACCACCATTACATATTTTTTTTTCTTTATTATTATATACACTATCTGTACCTCATGGGCACAATAAGAGCAATAAGAGTATTAGCTGAGATAAAAATAATACATGAAAAGGCTTGATAAAAGCAGCCACCCAGAGATGACACTTACAAATTGAGGTTATACATTATTTATATACATATGAATTTATTTATTTATTTGTTTTTTATATTATAATAAAGTTAGCATATCTCTACACCAGTTGCGTTTTAAACGCCTTGGAGGAAGTATTACATATGGATGTCAATTTTATTACTTCAACACGAGTCAACACATTTTTTTATTTATAAAATATTTTTATATAATAATTTTATTGTTTTATTAAAATTATTTTTTTTAGGCTTTTAGGTCATACATTTTAAATTTTTAGAGCATTAAAGACAGAGATAATTACAATATTAGATAATTCACAACCTGCACCAAATCTTAAAAATGTACGGGTAACAAATAATTGAGGTCAATGACCTATATTCAATAATAAATGTTATAACAATATCAGTATGCATGCCCATAGTCACAAACCGATCACAGCTTCCAGTTGGAGTGAACTTCATATTACATCAATGTTCCGCAAATATAACAATCTGCAATTGTAAACCACTTAATATGGTACAAAAATTTAAATATTTAGGAGTCATAATGGATCAAGAGCTGAAATGGTCTGAGCATATAAAATGTATCAAAAATAAAATCCGGAGATTAACTTCCCTATTTTATAAAATTCGCTTTCTTAAGAAATCAGTTGTACGGCAAATTTATATGGCATTATGTAATTCACTCTTATTATATGGTATAACATGCTGGGGAGGTGCCAGCAGAACAGACATAAAATCGGTATATATTACCCAGAAAATTATTATAAAAGTAGCCTACTCGTTACCGCCAACATACCCTTCATTAGATATTTTTAAAAATACTAACATAATATCAATCTATAAATTATACATTAAACAAACACTTATAAAAACAATTCAAATGCAGATACTTAATAATACAGATATAATAGACAGTAGAACAGGTAATAACATAAAATAACCTTATATATCACTATCCAGTACAAAAAGTGCTCCTGATTATATGGTCAAAACTATATTCAACAATTTAGGAATATGATGTAAAGACCCTAATAAAGTATGAATGTGAAAATCAGTCTAATAAAACAAATGTAAAAAAGGTGAGTAAGTGGATGTCACTCTGCTGTACAGTAGGTTAAAAGTGGGTCACTGTATAATGGATGCTATTAAACTTGAATTCAATGATACAATATCATTGTATAAGAAAAACGATTCAGAAAATTCACTTACGGGTTTTTTTTCATTCACGGCTACATCATCGTTCTTACCACCCATATCCATCGAACGCGGTAATATGTTGTCGGCGCTTCCGTAGAACCAACTACGCGGGTGGTTTCGGCGGGATTATTATTGCAAGATTCAATCGGAATATTTATGGACTCTTGTACAGGTGTACATGATGGTGGTGGTTGAATTCCATCAATCTTCATTTCATTTAACATAAGTGATCGCCTCAAGGGTTCAATACAATTCTGAAAACAAATATTAAAATAATTTGAATTATTAATGTCAACATTTATGCATAGAAAAAATAATATTAAAGGATCACACATCACAAAAAAATATTTTTAAAAATTATTTTTAAAAATTAAACTATTGTGGTTAGAACTTAGAACAGTTAAATAATAGGTTACAACCATTAAATAAGACTTGGTAAAAATTCAATGTAAAAAAAACTAACCACCTAATGTGAATAGACGGCCCGCGGCCTATATATATAGTATTACTAAGAATTAATATACTTTCATAATATTATTGTCATTAAAGTAATATTGTGAAATGGATTTTAAATATGTTTCGATGTTTGGTACAAAATAGAAAACAAATAATAATACTCTGTAGTGCCAAAAAGCCAAACGTGTGCATAACTCCGACAAAGTGAAAAAAAAAAAACAAAGATAATAATTAAACCGTACATATTAAATACATAAAAGGGAAACCAATGACTTTTCTGAACGGTTACCAGGAATGTAATATAATAGTAAAAAGATGGACAAGTGGGTACCACTATTCTGTAAAATATTTGTCAAGCATCTCGTTGTATAGATGTATTATATTTGAATTAAATGATAAATCATTGAATAAGAAAATCGATTCTGAGCGGAGACGTTGTGTCAGCCTAGCATATGTCTTGTAAAAATAATTCAATTTAATAGTTAAAAAAAGGTGGGTAAGTGGATGTTGCTCTGCTGTACTGTAGGTTACAAGTGGGTCACTGTATTAAATTTGAATTCAATGATATAATATCATTGTATAAGAAAAACGATTCTGAGCGGAGACGGTATGTCAGTCTAGGTATAAGACATATTATATACTTTTCTATGGTATTAAATTATATGGAATTTATGAATAAATTCCTTAAAATATGCACAGTCTTATCATTGAGCATACTTTTTATTCCTTATAGTATGGTAGCTAGATTGTATGGATAGGCCATAATATTTTGATTTTTCAGTTTCATATTTCCCCGAATAATATTTTTAAATTACAACAAAAACAAAGATCGTTATAATGTTGATTTTAGTATTTAATTTCGTCCAAATTTGAATTTAAAATGTCTGTAAAAAATAACTGTGTTCATATATTTTTTAGATTTTTTGGTTACAGTATGAACTATTTATGAGAATCTTTGTTTTAAATTTACAATCCTTAGCTATAAAAACTGAACATTTTATAATTTATTAATTACAATGATTGATAATTTTCGAAATTTTGATAAATTCTGTCAAAATTCGATGTTTAAATGCTTATAAAAAAAATTGTGCCTGTGTATTTTTAATATTTTTCAACTGATATTGTAACAATATATCAGGAGCCTTGTATTAAATAATTTACACTTTTTGGCCCAACAGATAAAACTTTATTGATATTCATAGAAAAAAAAATAAAAAATTGAAAAATGAATTATTAAACAGCTCAAAAAGAGTCAAAATATTTTCAAAATTGTATGGTATATAGGAAATGCTATTATAAACATTCAGTGAAATTTTCATGTATCTATAGTTATTCGTTTATGAATAACAACAAAATAAGGAAATCGCTACATGAGAAATCGAGTGAACCAATGTTGTAAAAATTTGAATTTCAAACGCTCATAAAAATTTAATTTAACTGTCCGGTAGAGATTTTCTTACTGATAAAGGTAGACAAACTTTTGAGTTATCTTGTACTACATTTTCAAATCTTGGATTTAAAAAGAAAAATTTTTACGAATTCTTAACTCAAAATAATTTGCTAATTTTCGTGATTTTTCCATATTTTGTCAATTTTTGAACTTTAAATGCTTATAAAAAAAAACTTTAACTAACGATTTTTAATATTTTTCATCTGCCTTTGAAACAATATACTAGGAGCCTTCTATTAAATTTTCAAGTTTTTTTAACCCACAAATAAAATTTTATTGATATTTCTAGAAAAAAAACTAAAAATTAAAATTAAAAATTAAAATGTCCCTAAACAGTTCAAAATAAATCAAAATATTTTGAAAATGTTATCGTGTATAGAAAATGCAAATATAAACAACCACTGAAAATTTCATGTATCTACGGTCATTTGTTTTAAAGTTACACCAAAAACCAAATTCAATTTTCTGAAAAATCGATTTTGCGTAAAAATTCCCGTTTTTCCTTAATTTTTATGTGGTTTTTCCCGTTGCTAGTGAAAACTACTGAAAATCCAAGCACTTTTACTGTCCTAAAACGTGATGACAGACACAAAAAAAAAATAAAAAATAAAAAATAAATAAAAAATAAAAAAAAAACACACATCATTGTAAAATCAATACATTCATCATTCCTCTCAGAATCTAAGACGTAATGAAAACTTTAGAAAAAAATGACTTAGTTTAACTACTTAGTTTTACTTTTAACTTTGTTTTGGCGCTTTTGAAAAGTACTGGGAATTTTAAATTTTGACCTCCCCAATGCACCAACGATATTCACTTTCCAATCGAACAAGATACTGAAGTCGAAAATCGAAGCATTATTTCGACTACTTATCGTGTACACAGACACAAAAATAAAAAAATAAAAAAATATAAAAACACACATCATTGTAAAATCAATACATTCATCGTTCCACTCAGAATCTAAAATGTAGCCTGACTTTCCGGTAAACTTTTTCTTTTTCATGAAAGTAGAAATCTTTGTTGTGAACCGAGTTGTGAACCTTGTATTAATAAGGTTATCTATGAAAAAAATAACTTTCATGAATTTCTAACCAAAATTTTTTTTATAAAATTTGAAAAAATATTGGGTATTTAAAATGGCGGTGTGTTGTGATTGGGCCAGACTCGATATATCACTGTCTATCTTATGTGTAATAGTATCTCACATTACACAATGATTTACTAATCTAATTGTATTTTAGATTCTAAACGGAGCGATGAATGTATTGAATATTGATCTTACAGGCTATTACTGTCACCATAACCACGACCAGCACTTGACTATACGAACATGTTACAAGTGTACAACTTACTGTACAAAAGAGATACTCGTCAGATGGTTTGCAATATGGGTTAGCAACATTAGCGTAAATGGGGGGGAGCATGAGGAGGCTCAGCCCCCATCCAAAATTTATTGCAAAAATATATTAAATTTGGGCTTTATTTATTTTAATTATGTATTTATGTGTTTAGAGAAGTCACTGTAATGGATATATTAAATTTGAAATCAATAATATAAAATTATTGTGTAAGAAAAATAATTCTTAGCGAAGACAGGTCCGTCAGCCTATAATATAACTACGCTTATTAAAAAATAATGTGGATTTACGTTCACTTTTTTTTTTTAATTTCCACTAACAACAACTTATGTGAAACCTTGTATTAAATTTTCAAGTATTTTGACAGAACGGACACTTTTTTATCCGCATATTTAGCTTAAGAAAAACTAATAACAATCGTAAATTGTACATACCTATAAATATATCAACATGAGTCAAATTATTTAGAACATTTGATGGTGTATAGAAAATTCTAATATAAACATTCAGTGAAAATTTCATGTATCTGCTGTCAGTGGCGTAATTGCGGGGGGGGGGGCAATTGCCCCCCAGAAATGTTTGTCTGTTTTAAATAATCTACATTTAAAAATTATTCTTAACAATACTGTTAACATAATAACATAATAATATTATAATATTAAAATATTTTTTTCCTATAAAAGTTTATATTAATTATTATAGGTTTCTCTTGTTGAATTATAATATTATTACAAACTACACAAGAATTATAAAATTATTTTTGAGTATACCGACAAATACTTCCTCATGTGAAAGAACATTTTCCTGCTTAAAACGCTTAAAAAGTGACTTAAGAACCAGCATGGGACAAGAGCGTTTAAGCGGGTTAGCATTATTACAAATTCAAAGAGAAGTGCCAATTGATTTTGACAAAGTAGTTTGATGAATTTGTTTCAAATGGAGTAGGAGGTAACAGAAAACTAACACTAAAATAACAAAAAATACAATACCTATTATTTCTTTTATTTGTTAATAAAGTAATAACATTATTTGTTGGTTATTTATTTATTATTTATTGTTCCCCAAACATGTGTATATAATATTTATACTACTTACCTACTTTTTAAACTACTTATAGCACCTTTTATTAATGACCTCCCTAGGTACTTAATAATATTTAACAATATGGGTACCTGTTACCTACAATTTGTTTCTAAACCATAACATGAGTTTTAAGACTAAATCAGGGTGGGGGTCAGGGTTTTGATTATTGTGAATAAATGATATTGCCCCCCCCCTGGTTTTTTATCCAGTTACGCCACTGCCTGCTGTCGTTTTTTATAGAGTTACAAATATTGTTCAAAGACGACCAAAGATGATTGGGTCAAGGAACTGTCATAAATCCAATACAGATTAATAAAATAATATGCTCAGTTAATTTGTTTTGTTGCTAATTCACAAATATTATGTGATTATTTTTAAATTTTTTTTTATTTTGCTTAATTAGTTTCTTTTTGCTAATATACAAATATGTGTTTAATAAACTATGACATGGCGTATTATATGTAAATACTATGCGTATTTTGCTAAGTGAATCTAATTGGTGCATAGGGGAGGTCAAAAGTAAAAAATTATCAGAAGTTTTCAAAAGAGCGGGGAAAAACAAAAAAAAAAAAGGAACGAAAAACGGGAACTTTTAGTCAAAATCGATTTTGGTATTGAGTGTATCTCTAAAACCAATGACTGTAGATATATGGAATTTTCACTGAATAATTATATTAGGGTTTTATATACAATTATAAACTATTTTATAAACAGTTTTCAAAATATTTTGACTTCTTTCGAGCTGTTTGCAGACATTTTTAGTTTTTTTTTGTATTCGATGGGTCAAAAATCTTGAACATTTAATAAAAGGCTCCTAATATATTGTTTCTATGGCAGTTGAAAAATATTAAAATACAGTCACATTTAAATTTAATACCATACATTTTTCTTAGAATTTAACATTTTTTCAAATTAAAAAAACATATTTTTTGTGTTTTGTGCTCATTTAAAGTTGATTATATATAATAAATATGATACCTTTAAGAGACAGTAAGCAGTGCGCTGGGAATGATATCCAATACCATATGACTCTAGGCGATCAAAAAACTGTTCTGGTTCCACCTTGGCATCAACTAGTTCTTGTATAACGGTTTGCCCTAATCTTTTTTCCGGTTCAGGGCGTTTACTTGAGGATTTCAACAGAAGAGCTAAATAAAAGTAGCAAAATTCTTTACACCAGACTGGTTTAGGCACCTTAAAAATAAAATATAAACTATAAATATATCTATATTAAGTCCAAGAACAATTTTTAATTTTCACAAAATCGGTTAAGTAGTTTTTATGTACCAACCTATATAAGCTACATACATACATTAAACTCCCATTTTTTGGGTCTAGGTGCCAGTTTTTTAAACTGTCCACAATTCTATAAAATTTGAAAACTAAATTGCCAACACTCCACCTCAATTATAAGACTTCTCCCCTAATCGGCTACCCGATACCTATTTAGGGGAAATTGATAGTGTGTATTATATACTTATATCGAAAAAAATTACTGTAGGGGAATAACTCTCAAGCTTTGTCGAATTGTCCGATTTTGATGAGAATTTTTTATCTGAAAGAAGAAAACTTCCTACAGCCCTCTTCGATCTCTGATTTTGTATTTTATTTCAAGTAGTTGTATTAAAAAATTTGTAAAAAAAATTATTTTTATCTTGTATTTTAGATTCTGAGTGGAACGATGAATGTATTGATTTTACAATGATGTGTGTTTTTTTTTAAATTTTTAAATTTTTTTTTTTTTTTTATTTGTGTCTGTGTACACGATAAATAGTCGAATTAATGCTTCGATTTTCAACTTCAGTATCTTGTTCGATTGGAAAGTGAATATCGTTGGTGCATTGGGGAGGTCAACATTTAAAATTCCAAATAATTTTCAAAAGCGCCAAGAAAAACAAAAGAAAAATTAAGGAAAAACGGAAATTTTTACGCAAAATCGATTTTCAACAAAATTAAAACAAATGACCAACAAATGACATATTATCATTTTCTATATACCATAACATTTTCCAAATATTTTGATTTATTTTGAACTGAGCACCTTTTTTTGGACATATTATCAAGTTTGAGAATAAAATATTGAAAAACCGAGACCTATGGGGGCTGTAGAATATTTCATTCTAGCAATTAAAAAAAAAAAGTTATGAAATTTGGTTGATTCTACAAGGTGGTATTGTTATTCCCACAGAGTGTATTTTTGAGGACAAAATGGCATCGGCACCGGGAGCCTTAAGATATAATTTCTTTGTTTGAAACCATAAATGCGACGATTTGATACCTCATCTGCCCGAGTTACCAATGGCAACCATTTATATAATATACACAATATTAATACCTCCATTAACATCTCGTATTAATATTATAATATGTAAACTGTAACTATAATAGCAATCAATTGTTTATAATTTATATTATTGTTATCACGTGATAAATGTTGGTATACTCTTTTCAGAATAAGAAGGAACCAGGCGGCCACGGACAAAACCGGTTTTGTTACGTAAATCTGGTGCGTTCTTATTCTGAAAAGAGTATAGCAGTGGTCAGCAGTAAATTTAGATACCGGTATCAGCAGTAAAAAAAATAGATGGCTATAATAATAATACCTTTACCTTATTATGTTTCTCATTCAGTTGCCCCAGAATATCAATAAATGTCGGCTGTTGACCCTGCAGTGTTGATTTTTGTAATAATTTGGTAACCATGAGCTCAGTTAAAGTGAGAAAATCTGTTGAATCAATTTCTTGTTCTAAAAACAATTTAATGGTTGAAAAGATTAAAATTCACATAATTTGCATCATTGTATTTTTATGAAAAGTTAAAATATTCTAAGTTATCTATGGACACCCAACACAGCAATATCGTAAGTTGTGTACTTACCGTTAAAACGTTCAACAAACTGTTCAAATCCCCATTCTTTAAGTTTTAATTCGATTAATTCATCCATATTTGTTATTATATAATAAACCTAGTGAAGCATAGGTACCTATTATAGGAAAAATATTATTGTAAATTTAACTTATTGTATATATAGATTATAGATATAAAATATTCTTACCTTAAGGTTCAAATATTACAAAATATAGGTTATATAAAGTATATATACTGAATAATTAAAAGCTAAAGCGAATTAATTAGTAATAATAGTAGTGAACTGCAGTTGTATGTATTGGGATAATTCTAATGTAAAATAAAAATACCAATGTTACCGTTGGGAATTAATCATGTGAAATGTGCCCTTGCAGTGTCAGTGTTCAGTACAATATAACTTAAAATGTTTATTTTTTACAGAATATTTTATCTAGAAAAATACGTGATAAATGATGACCATGCAAACGAATACGCGATATTAAAATATACTGGTCATTCGGTCATTGTTTGTGGTAAAAACGGTTCATGTCCATTGTTTAAGGTTGTGGATTTGGAATTGTTTAGTGGGCATCGGGCAGTTGGGTCCCCGAGATAACAGCCGTTATCATCAGCATTATTTATCAGTTTAATCTCATGGAATAAACGCCTAAATTGGGGACCAACTAAAATGTAGGAGTACCAACTTAGAAATACTAACATTCCCAATCCATTTCAATTTTTATCCCAAAATTATGTATTTTCAGATTCAAATATTATTGTACAATTATTGTACGTACAATAATTCTAGTACAATTCAAAATCATGGTATTATTGTATTAATGTATTAAGGATTTTTAAAACATGGTCTTGGGATTTTCAAAAACTGAAATAACAACTTTTTGGAAAAATTAAATTCCAGCAAACATTATCTACTACATTACGTGTTAATAGCCAAATTTTTTGAGGTGACAAGTCATTATTCTTTAAATGATGTGAGTTATACCTATGATGAATAATATAATGATCTCTAAAAATATACATTTGTGCAAATTTTATACAAATACCAGTTTATTTAATAAATAAACTTATAACTTATAACTTATAACCGGACAGTGTGGCCAATTATATTCATATCAATGTGTTTCGTTTTTATCAGCTAACGTATCCGTTTTCACCGGTTACCAACGGACCGGTGAAAACGGATAGTGTGGCCCGGCCCTAAATAGATTCAAAAATATTTGTAATCAACGGGCACAGGCTGAACAAATATCACTTCGTGTCATTTATAACGAAGTAAGTTACCTATATATTTATTATAATTACAAACACCAATTATATAGCAAGGAAGTTAATTGAAAAGTATTATTATACGATACTTTTTTTAGATTGTTTTGATACATAAGTGTTTTGTCCTGAAAATGTAGGTATGAAATGTAAATATTATGGCGTGATTTTTAATAGGTATGCATTTAAGATGATGTAAGCGTACTGTTTATTTTCTCTCTGGCCCACGTGCAAAATAAAGAAGAGGCATTCACATAAAATAATTTTTTTTTTTGTTTTTGAGTTATCTTGATTAAAATCACACATCCCAAAAATTATAGAGAATAAGTGTATGACAAATATTTGCCCAAATATATTGTCTCAAAAATCAAAACAATTCAATAAGTATAACCATTTAAATGTTATGCCTATTTTTCAGTAAAATAATAATAAAATATAAAACAGACATTATAATTTTTTTGTCACGTCTGCACCGAAAGTTTAGTTTTTGATGACAGTTGAAGCGGAAAGTGACCTTTTCGGGCGGTAAAGTGGAAATCCCAAAATGTGGTCATTTGAAGTGCAATTGGTAAACTCCCTAAGCAGACACTGATCGATTAACGCAGAGGTTTGACAAAAAATAGTTGTGGCTCGTAAGGGAAGGCAATTTTCAAAAAGCTCACTTTCCGCCCTTGCCAGTTGCTACACAATATTAAATATACTATAGTAATAATAGGTTATTCAAATATCATAAAAAAATGGTTTTCCATGACTTTTTATATACGTTGCACGTCAGTCTGTGAGAGAAAACAAATATTGCGCTAGCTGACATCCTATTGATAATTTGTGTTTATTTAATGCTCCTGATTTATTTAACGATATATAGTAAATAAATTATACTATATATGTCACCTAGTATACATTTAATATTTTTATAATTAATTAATATTTGTAAACAGAGGACACAGAATGATCAAATTTCTCTCCGTCTCATCTACAATAAAGTATATAAATAATATTGTTACTAAATATTAAATCAAAAAGTAAAATGTAATTTATTGACTCACTTTATGTATAAACATACCTATTAAGAGTTTTACATCATTTCTATATACAAAACACTAATATATTTTTTTTTGGTAAATACATTTGTACATTAAATTTTTAAATTTGAATATGAAAATACATTTTAAGACATGCGGTATGGCAGATTTTGTAAATGTTCATGTCGGTTCATTTGTCTCACTGCATAGAACAATGCGTAGACATAGGCGTCGAATTCATCCAGTCACTCCTCAGTCTATGACTGAATTCCACTTACAATTAACAGGAGAATATGCGCACTTGTCTATGATACAAAATGAAACAATATACTCTGGCATTGTTGGTGCAACTCCAGAAGAAGGAACCACTTTACTTTTCATTTTGCCTGGAATCAAAAAGTATATAACTATAAAATATAATAAACTTCATTTCAAATAAATAATAATTACATATAGGCACTGTCTTATTATACAATTAATTTAGTTTACTTAGGACTGGTTCAACTTTTTTGTTGGATGGCACATTTTCTAGTTCACCAAGTTTTGGAAACGAATGCCACCAATTATATATCATAATGGGCATAACATTTAATACTGTAAGTTTTGTATGTAATTTGTAAATAAATACTATTAAATTATAAAATAACTGTTTTACTAATTAGATTATTTTAAGTTACTTTTTTTTTAAATCTATTTATAAAAATATTTTTTTCAGGGATTTCCTATAGGTTTTGCATTGATGTCGAGGAAAACGGAAAGGGCATACACGACGCTTTTCAATAAGGTTTTAAGTATAGTACCAGAGTGGCAACCTCAAACCATAATAGTTGATTTTGAAAGGGCAGCTATTGCTGCTATAAGAACAATGTTCCCAAATACCACTATTAGAGGCTGTTGGTTTCATTCCTCCCAAGCGGTATGGAGAAAAGTTGCAAACATAGGTAAGATTACTCTAAAATCTGAATTTTGTAATTAATAATAAATGAAATGTATAGTCAATTAATAACACTGGTTAATATTTAGGATTGATTGAAATATGTAGTAACCATCGAGGAGCCTATGACACAGTGCATATGTTGATGGCATTGCCTTTGCTGCCGACAAATAGTATAGCTGAAGGTTTTGAAACTGTAAGGGCATACTATATTGAGAATGTGCAATCATTGATTAGCAATAATAATGATTACAATTTTACATTATTATTTGAATATTATAGATCAACATGGCTTGCAGGTCTGTAAAATACAAAATAATAGTTTTAATATAATATTTCTTATTCATACAACTAAACAAATTTATAACTAACCCTACACCATTGCCAATAGGAATAAACGCAGATATATTGTCGGTGAGTGACACCGTTTGGCGTACTAACAATGTGATGGAAGTAAGTCACCAACATCTCCAAATGCACATGCAAAATCGGCACAATCCTGAGCCATGGGTGTTTTTGAGTAATTATATTTTTATTTATTTAACACTAGAAAAGGAATATATCAGTATTTTATATATACAGAGGGGCTAATTACTTACTCAAATGGTGTTTTGAACGATTATAATGAGGCTACTGATGGTGGTCAAGTAAGACAACCTCAACGGCAAGTTTGGATAGATCAGCAAAGGAATTTAGATAGATCCTTGAGGCTGCTTACAGAACAACGCTACTCAATGTTGGAGTTTTTAATATGCGCTAGGCATTCAACACCAACTTTTGGTGTAATACGGCCTCAACACCAAGCTATTGTAGTACCTGCTGCTGTCTTTCCACAAGCTCCATTACCACTCCCCGTTGATCAGCAGGACATACAACCTCAAGCTATTCCTGTGCTCCCTGCTACTGCTTTACTACAGGCACCATTACAAGAAAATCAACCAGCTTTATTACCACTGCACGATGATCAGCATCAGGAACTGATTCGTGAAGAAATAATGAGAAGGATTTTACCACCTAGACCAGCAGTGCACGTTCCTCGAGATCGTATGATTTTTCATTATAATATTACTGATACAGATTTCCAATAAAATATACTAATAAATAAATCACTTGTCTTTAGTTTTTTATAATCTTGATGCCGATGCAGATTATTCAGATGAAGATGTGTCTACCGAACAGTCTGCGAACAGTCCATCAGTTATTTACATTGAACGTGCAGATTTGACAAGTAAGTAGTAATTATCTGAAATTTGTTTCTAGGTAAAGTAATTGATTAAAAATAATGATGTTTTATTATTTTAAAGTTATACCAATAGAAGAGGAAACGTGTTACATATGTTTGTACAGTCCACCAACAGTGGTAGCGTATCCATGCCTACACCAAGGCCTATGTGAAGCTTGTCATGAAAGTTATTCAAGGATGCCTCCGAATGAGCATAGGCCATATTACCGCTGTCCACTTTGTAGAGCTGGAATAGAAATCTACTATATATTAACTTGAAAATTATAATTAATTATTTATTTTATCAATTAAATATCAACTAGCCATGAACCTACTTTCACTTTTTATTTTTTAACAAATTAAACAAAATTAAACTAATTTTCTTGGTATGACATACATTTCAATTTAACTTGGGTTTTGACTGTTTTGAGTAAGTTTAACACATTTTCTTGATATATCATATTAATATAAGTAACATATTATAGGTAGGTATACTGCAAGTACCTACATTGAAATTAAAATTGTTACCAATTATGTGTTCATTATCAATTGTGATTATAATCAGATGTGATTAAATATAATTTACAAATACTTTACAAGTCTAAACCACAGAATAGATACAATAAACTACCATATTTATTTATAGAAAATACTACTCAGTCTATATATCTATGTCTATATATCTACTATACTGTATCACTGTTACTACTTACTACAAGTTACAACAGTCCACTAGTCAACCTAATAATAGTTATTAAGAAGTTTTTAGTTAAATTATAGTAATTATTAGGTATTAAAATTAAAATGCAAAACTTACTTTTGAAATGACTGAAATAAAGGATTACAGTCTACAAGTAGACATTACAATATAATAGGTAGTATTTAGCAGTAAGTTTCCGTTATAGAAGATTATGTTATAATTTACAATAGGCTTATTTACCTACTTACATGTCGCATTGTCACCATTTTATTTCTTATGGACAGATGAGACCAGCACGTTGAAGGTTTGAAAGTTCACGTTTTGTTAAAAAGGAACTACTTAAATTGTTTCTTCTTCCTAGTTCCCGTTAAAGAACATTTTTCGTACCTCAATCAATTTAAAATTGTATTAAAATAATAAGAAAAAAATAATTAGGTTCTGTTTTTTAAATGTAGTTTGTTTATATAATCCAATATAGGACCGATAAGAACACCCAGACTGACTTGACATTTTGTGAACATAGTCAATATCATCATAAGAGAGTAGGTAGTCTACAGTCGTGGTCAATGAGACCATTATAATTTGTCGAAACTAATGATTCATGAAATCATGAATATGACCAAACTTACTTCGACACTTCGTCATGATATAATATAATATATTAATATATAGCCTATAAACAAATTGAAATAAATTAGTGATAGGTTGTGCATAAGAGATAACGGTTGTTATTTGGAGGTAAGGTTATAAATTGTTACCTCCAACCAGTGGCGTATATAGAAATATTTGTTAGGGTGGGCTATAATAGATAGCAACTAGCAAGTGATATATTACTTAGAAGCTACTGTCTACTATAGATTTAAAAGTTTCTATAAATATATTCTTATTTGTTATTTTTCAACAGACTATGAAATATTATAACTTTTAATAGTACCTAATAAAATATATTGTTGTTCTATTTAAAAAGACTGTAATTTTGGGGTGGGCTGCAGCCCACTATGTCCACCCCCTATATACGCCACTGCCTCCAACAGTCCAACGTATATTCATCGGTTTCCGATGAAAACAGTTGGAAATAAACGAAGGGATCTTCGCAGGAAAGAATTTCTCGGTTTGGTTCAAGTCCGCGCAATACGTCAGTTGCTTAGTTGCTAAAAGCATTGATTATATATACAGTCGAATCCGCTTAATTGGGACACTTCGGGCGGTGGCCTATTTGTCCCCATTATCCCGACTGTCCCGATTAACCGAAGAATTTTACATACAAGACATTCATTCGGGACTGTCATTAATGTCCCCATTAATTAGCGGGTGTCTCCTTTAAGTGGCGTCCCCTTTAAGCGGATTCTACTGTATATGTTTGATTATATATTTTATTTATTATTTATTTATTTATTTATTATTAGGTTTAACGGGACAAGCCCTTTACATAAGATTAAGTACATAATAATCTAGAAACAACCATACATATACAAAATAATTAATACAGTTTGAAGGTGAATAATCACAAAAAATATATACATATATAAAATAAATAAATTTGAAATAGATAGTAGGTATAAAGCTTTTGTTTTAAAAGATTCACGAGACATAAAAAAGAAATCGACTTCATTACAAATTGAATTACATAATAATAATGCTCTAGGAAAAAATGAATCTGTACATATTTTTTTTTATAATAAGGTACAAAAAATAAACAAGAATTTCTAAACGAATAACTATGGTCTATGAGTACAAAAACCAATTTTATTTAATAAATCAGGACAATCAATATTATTATTTAGAAGATCATAAATAAATAGGACGTCAGATAACTTACGCCTGACCTCACAAGGCTGAATATAAATAGAATTAGCTACTAATGAATATGATTCTCTAGAAATAGGTAAGTTTAAACGAAACGCTATATAGACTTGAGGAATTTATACTGAACATTCTGAATCAATTTATCAGTACAATTTTGAGCCCAGATTATTGAACTGAATTCTGTATGTGACCTAACAAGAGAACAATAGAGCATACCTATTTAATGTAAATACATTTTTAAATTCCCTAGTATTTCGTAAAATAAAGCCCAACATTTATTTATAACCATGTTTGTATTCATAGAGAAAGATAAATTATTATTAAAGAGAACACCCAAATCTCTAACTGATTCAACTCTGTTAATATTAATATATTATACATTTGATAGTTAAAAATTATAGGATATTTTTTTTTAGTGAAAGAAATAGCATTACATTTATTAATATTAATTGGTAATTTATTTTGTTCACACCAAAAACTAAACTTATTTAAGTTTGCTTGAAGATTTAGTGCATCATCATGGTTTTTAATAGTAGAATACAATTATATAATTATATAATCAATGCTAAAAGTAACTGGACTAAGTTATTAAAATAATAAAATTATTCCTATCTGAAACTAAAGTTGTAAACAAAATATAAACTTCAAATGTAAAATTTTCATACCCTTCGTCACTCAATATCCATTCTGGTTGTATAAATTATATAGACATATAGTCTAACACACCGTGTTGCAGCATGAATAATTACTAAACATTTTAATGAGTCAGTAGTGAGATAACTAACTTTTGATCATGATTTCGTGGTCCATAATTGATCCATTAAATTAATTATTTTTTTATGCGATTCGTTATAGTTGTGTGTGATATTAATACTTAAAGAGAGGTGAGTAACCTTGATTTTCAAGCATTAATTTAAATAATAAAAAAAATTTGAATTTACAAACTATTCTTTATTATACCTAGTCTTATGACTCTTGTCTCTTATGAATAATTCATGAGTTATGACTTATGAGTATTATAATATTAATGTAATGTAATACTTAATATTATGATTTATGATACATTATATTCAAATTAAATTAATCATTTGTTAAATGTTAGAGAAAAAAACAATACGTTTAGTATAAAATAAGTTTAATATAATTTATAATGTTATTTTAAATTACCGCCACAGAAGGGGTATCTAGTAGGTCAAGGGTGATCTAAACGCCAAATGGGTAATTTAGATCCCCAACTAGGATGGTGTCAACTAGTTCCCTATGGTTATTTAGATCCCCTGTCAATTAGATCCCGTTGTGTCATTTAGATCACGGGGATCTAATATGACGGGGATCTAGGTGTCCGTTCACCGTAAAAACACCTATGAACAAAATTGTAGAGGAGAATTTTATCTGGTTCCGTAAGAAGCCCGATTTTTGATATCTTTAAAACATCATGAAATATATCATGATTAATAATACACTTTTTTTTCATTTTCCGGAAGTTAATTTTAGGACTTAGAAATGAAAATTTCAAAAATCGGGCTTCTTACGGAACCAGATAAAATTCTCCTCTACAATTTTGTTCAAAGGTGTTTTTATGATAAAACCACTCAGTAACCCATATTATTGGAACGCGCAAACATGTTTTTAAAGGAATTTTTCGAGTGATTTTTTTGGGTGACACGTCCTCTTAAAGGGTGTTCATTTGGAAGAAGTGTGAGGTGTGTTTCAATCAAACTATTTGAACTGCCAGTTTTAATTATTAAGAGGATGTAACACGGGCATTTGTTGTCTCTGTCTTACAATTACGTAACAGCACATTTAAGCTCAGCAGATCACGTTTGACTTTGTTAGTTTAAATTTAGAGTGAATGAAACTTGATGGTAAAAAAATTAAAATAATATGTTAATAATATTTTAATAACACAGTTATTTTTTACAGACATTTTAAATTCAAATTTGGACGAAATTACATATTAAAAAAGCCTAGAATAACTATTTTAGTTATTTTGTTGTGATTGAATAATATTATTTGTAGGTACTTGAAACTTCTAAAGTGTACTATTATATATCTATGATAGTATCACGGTTTTTGTTGATGTATAACCCCTTATAAGTACCTAATGGATATTGTGATATGATTATTTTGGAATTTATTATAGGTACCTATTATAGGTCAAATTTTGGTTTAGTACCATAGATATGTATATAATATGTCTTAAACCTAGACTGACATACCGTCTCCGCTCAGAATCGTTTTTCTTATACAATGATATTATATTGTTGAATTCAAATTTAATATCATCCATTATACAGTGACCCACTTATTTGAATTACACATAATATATTATTGTAATTTAAAACAAAATATTATTTATAATATATAATTTTTTTAACAATATAATATAATATATAATTTTTTTAGCAATATAATATAATAAATTATATTAAACTAGAATATAATGTACGTATTTGTAATTAAATATTAATTATAGATACTTATTAACTTTTAAAAAATATTTGTTCAACCATTTGCAAGAGGTTGTGAGTAATATTGTAGTCTAGGGATTTTTTTTCCGGGATTCGTTTTGAAGGCCTCCCCATTTTTTGTAGTAATAATACATTATGTAAAATTTTTTAAATTCTTCTTTTAAATCGTCAAATATTATATTATTTACATTTTAATTTATATACAATTATTATTATAAGGTTCGGTATCGTGGTAGGTATGCATTTTTTTTTTATATGTATAGGTAATACCTATTGGGTAAAAGACAATTTTTTATAAAATTACAACTTTTGAACAAAATTGAATTTGGTTTTTGGTGTAACTTTAAAACAAATGACCGTAGATACATGAAATTCTCACTGGTTGTTTATATTTGCATTTTCTATACACGATAACATTTTCAAAATATTTTGATTTATTTTGAACTGTTTAGGGACATTTTCATTTTTCATTTTTTTTTTTAGTTTTTATTCTAAAAATATCAATAAAATTTTATTTGTTGGTTAAAAAAACTTGTAAATTTAATAGAAGGCTCCTAGTATATTGTTTCAAAGGCAGATGAAAAATATTAAAAATCGTTAGTCACAGTTTTTTTTTATAAGCATTTAAAGTTCAAAAATTGACAAAATATGGAAAAATCACGAAAATTAGCAAATTATTTTGAGTTAAGAATTGGTTTATTGGCAGTTTGAAGAGTCAAAAAAATGTAGCCACACAAGTCTGTACTCTGTGCTTATTTGAAACTGAGTTAAATCTCCCAAATTCCAACTTTGCAACATGCAAATTAACATGTTCATTGTTTAGGGATAATTCCATAAATAATAAAATGCTCAAATCCTAAATAGCTTAACTTCTTGGTAGGACTGTGATGGTGGCACTATGTCCACCATATTTTGTACATCAGTTTTAGTATATAATAATAAACACTATATTTGATTTCAGATACTAGTAGACAGGAGGAATGATATATTGAAATTACACAATCAGTTTGAACCAGGAAAAAAAATTTCACTAACAAAGTGAGGGCAGTACTGAATGAGCTACCATTTGACGTGAAGCGCATAGATTCTGAAATTGTAATTGAAATTTGCAAGCGGTTAGGACTAGTATGGAATGCCGATAAATGGAAAGTACAAGCATTGAAAAATCATTATAAAGTAACTTCAGCTTTGCGTCATATTTTTAAACAGGACAGTAAAAAGGTAAAAACACCAGTTGAAAAGGTAATGTTATATGAAAATATTGGGCAGGTGTCTGTTGGTGATGATTTTTTGTCAAGTTCTAGGTTAATTTAGACAAGTATTACAGTAAAGGAGATGACTGATCATGGATCTTTATTGTTGAAACCAAATCTCGAGGAGTCGATTGTTGATGAATTTATCACTCCTACAAAACGAAATGAAGTTATTGATATTGTGGAATGTGTTAATGATCAACTATTAACACACAATTGCAACAGCGATATTAAGGGAAAAATATCACAGGTGAAAAATTTAATTACAGATGAAAAATCTGCTAAGAAAAAGGTAATGTGTGGTTCCAATGCAGAACAGTTATCTGTTGTTGATGAAACTTTATACAATTTTAGGTTGATACAGAGAAATGAGGATATTATGGAAGTTGCATCTATCTATTCGTCCAGTGTAGAGAATATGTTGGACACTTCTAATGATACTGTATTGTTGGAACAAAGTCCTAAAGAGTCAAATTTTGTGTTTGTGACTCCTACTCAAAGAAATGTTGCAGGAACTCCTAGAAGAAAATTATTCCATGATAATATAACTGGAACTTCATTGTTTGAATGTAATAGTTCAATTGATTTACTCAGAAACACTGGTAAAACGAGAGACAAATTTATTAGTCCGATAAAGAGTCCGTTAAAACATTTATATGATAGACATTTTAATAAAAGCCCTGGGGAGCTTTTACCACGAGGTTCTAAGAATGTGTCTCCTCTAAACATTAAAGGAGAATATTATGAATGTAACTTCAAAGAAGGGGACTTTATAGTTCCAAAAGATGAATGGAATCATATATTTGAAGATGGAAAACTAAATATAAAAAGGTATACATAAACTTATTTAAATTTGCTTAATATATTTATATATATATAGAACTACTTATACTGTATTTAATTTGTTTGATTTATTACTCTATTAATTTGTCTTAAAAAGTTGAACATTTTATTAACAATAGTTAAATTAAATCATCACAAAAATAATTTATATAGATATTGTTAGCTTATATAGTTTTATTTAATAAAAGTTATGACCTCTAATATACTAGTAATAAATATTCTAATAACTAACAACATAAATTTAATAAATAATAAAAAATCTTAAAAAAAATATTAATAATTAAAAATAATCTAAATATGATACGGAACACATTTAAATAACTTACAAAATATTATTCTTAAATACCTACTAAAAGAACAACAATAATAATATAAATAAAAATAAACGAATTGTGTACTACAATAACAATAACATAATACTAAATAATATATGTTAATGATCAATATAAATTTCGGTGCTAGAATGAAAAGGTTGTTCCACCGACACATTTATTGTCTCCATCTTACAAGTGCCTAACATAGCAAATTGTATGCTCAACAGATTACGTTTAGCTCTGTTAAAAAACTAGATTGAATTGACCTCTTATAAAATTTAAAGGTAATATTATCATCTAGGGTGTCTCATAGGGTTTTTATTATATTTTATTTTTAAAGCGAGTATAATTATTTGAAGATGTACAAACAATATACAATTTTAAAATACTCATAACTCGATTTAAAATTAAAAAACAACAAAAATTCTATGAGATGTCCTAGGTACCTAATAATCTTACCTTTAAATTATACAAGACATCAATTTACTCTAATTTTTAAACTAACAGATGTTAGGCACTTGTAAGATGGAGACAACAAATGTGTCGGTGTAACGTCCACTTAAGTATTCATAGTATACCTTTATAAAATATTAACTTAACTCAGTTTAAAAAAAGTTAATCTACATTTTTTAATTACCTAGTATGTTGATCGCATAAAGAGTGACAGCTTTATTTCTAATTTCCAAAATTATAATAAACAATTTTATTGAACTTTTGATGTAATGTACAGTGTATATTTTACTTTACATGTTTATTAAATATTAAATTATACCAACACACCCTTATTAATAATTTAATAAATATAAATTTGTTTTATCAAATAGAAATTTAAATCCATATACTATTATGCCTAACTAATCTAATTAAATATATCCATTAACACGATTCTTTTATCAAAAAAATAACAGAAATGTTTGTATAATATTATAGTATTGGATTATTTTTATTTTAGTATTAATATTTCAAGTATAACACCTTAACAACAAAAATTAAAAGTAATATAACTTGATGGATTATTTTTAAATAAACTGAGCAAAGTTAAGTTAATTAACTTTCAATTAAACTAGTTAAGTTCATAAGTTAATAAGAAAATTAAATAACTAGTTAACTAACTTGGGGCAGTTTTGAAATTCTATTGTAAATAACTTAAGATTAATTAATCTAGAAGTATTTTCAATATATCATTTTTTTTAGTTAAGGTTTGTTTTATTCATTTTTGTTGCATTTGAAGCATAACAATTATTCCTTCTATTTTTTTATTTTTTTTTCTGCTTGCCCCATGTTGTACCGAATATTGACAACATGGGGCATTCATGTTTTTCTTATTTTATAATTTACTTAAACCAACTTGGGGCACTATTCTAAATTTTTAAAAAATTCTAGACAATGTTCTGAATTTAACAAATATACTTTGTACCTAGTGAGTATATATTAACATATTAACATATAAACATAATAATTAGATTCTTGTTCTTAAAATGTTCACTAATTTTTCTCAGACATTCCACTCATCTGTACAAAATTAAAAATATAACTGTAGGTACTATTTAGACTAAATTGTATAAAGTTTAGTCTTGTTTAGATAGAATGGACTTGTTTAGCGGCGTCGCGGAAGTAATGCGAAAGCTGTTCCCGCGACGCCGTCGGTTCAAACAGAAAAAAAAAAGAATGCACTTGTTTAAATTTATCCTTATTATAACTTTGACCATGGATGAATAATAGTGGCCCAAATTGGACTAAATAAGTAAATCGCAATGTACAGAAATGTGTGCACGATTACAATAATTTATAATATGGACTAGTAAATTTAACACATGTCTGAACATATTTTTTACTATCAATTTTTATATAAAACGTCTCATTCAATGAGTATTAGTGTAAGTTTTTGGACTTTTTAAAAACGATAGATACTAAACATAAGATGAATTAATAAAAATTAATACTTAAGTATCATATTTGATGCTGCATCACTACAGTGTTTATTTCAGACCTTCTATCCCGGGGGGGGTATCGTAAATTTTCAAGGGGGTATGCCTTAGAAGTAAATAATTAAGGGAAGTGAAAATATCGTTTTAAGCTCAATTTATTGGTATTAGAAGGATACTTACGAATACAAAAATTCTTAAAAAAAACTAATTTTGATTAATTGTATGAAAAAAAATATAACAGACATTTACTATACATACAAATATACAATACTTATACTTATACATTACTTACACATTTTATATTATTAATAGTACTCCATTATGAGCTTAAGTCATATATATTTTAATATTTATTATGTTTATTAAGTTAAATTAAACGAATCCGGCGCTGTTTTTGACGTGCGTACAAATCAATTACCTCATTCACAGTATCTTCATCGAGTTCTGAGGGCCCTTCTGTGCTAATTTTCATGCAGGATTGCAAAGTTTCTTGTCCCATTCGATTTCTTATTTTGTTCATAATCCTATTCATCGTACTGAAAGAGCGCTCCGCAGTGGCCGTTGAAACTGGTACTACTTGGAGTGTTCGTTTAATTGAAACATATTTATTTCGAGCAGAAGTTAATGCTAATGATAATAAATGAGCTCTACAATGAATATATGGTATTTCTCTATGTGCTATTTCAGATAGTCTTTTTCGTACTCCAGTTATACTACCAGAAAAATTTGCAGCACCATCAAAACCAAGACTTATTAGTTTCGAATAATCAAGTCCTCTTTTTTTTAACTCTCAATCAATAGTTTCTGTTATGGTTTGCGCATTTGTGCTAGACAATTCTACGATGCATAAAAATAATTCTCTAATTTTACCACAGTCTGTTACAAAACGAATAATTATTGTCATTTCACAAATATTTTTAATATTTGTCGACTCGTCAGCCATTAATGAAAAATATTTATTTTTTAATTCATTTGAGTCATGAGTTTCAACAACAGTGGAAATACAATTTAATATTTCAATAGCTGTGTTTTTACTCATGTAAGTCGATCTGTCGTTTTGTTTTTTTACCCACTCAAATAAAGTTTGATTTTGTTTTAGCACTACTTTATTTAATAATGGTTCATATTTAGTAGTATGAGGAATTTCTTTTTTTGCCAAAAAATAAACACTATGCACAAAAGTGGAGAAATTAATTCTATTTTGTATTTTTTCTGAGTTACTTTGTTGAATCATTTGTGTATGAATAGGTTCATTTTTTCCTTGTAAAAAAAATTCGTTCAAAGCTAAAGCTTACTTCTTTATCTATGATTTGAACTCAGTTTTTAATTTTTATTGAATTTATAAAATTTAAAATGTATTAATTACTTTTTACTATTTTAAGTAGGTTTTATATAATTTATTAATATGTTCACTACCTGTCCTTGTGCAGTATACAAATTACAAATCTAAACAGTTCACCTTTCATGTGACTTCCGTAAGTCGTACATAGTTTTTACTAACCTGCTTCTGTATTATTTAGTATTTTATTTTAAACTACAGTGTAATTACTTGTAGGTACAATTTATTTGACAAAGAATTAAAACTATTGCGAGAACCAAGTTAAACATATGCTATCTACGAGCAACAATCACATTCAAACCATCATTACTCAAATCATGTAAGTTCTGTATACCGTTAAAATCCCTATAATCCCTATAATCCCTATATTTAGTGGAAGCGTGAAAAGCTGTTTACGAGGTAGCTGCCTCATGAAAAATGGAAGGAAGGTACCCCAATGACTCCAGTCTCAAACACCTATTACTATAGGTATAATATTGACAATAATGAATTACCTAATGAAGGAGCAAGTCCATTGATGAAAGACTACTACCACCTACAATAATCAAACATTCAAATCTTCATGATTCATAACATATCAAGTAAGCTTTGTAGTGATATTTATCTCTCTGTACTTTGTAGTATTAATTAATTTAGTGTTTTAGTTCTAGTCAAGAGGGAACAATAGTGAGTGATGTAGGTATGTGCCTGAGCCTCGAGGAGATAACCTATTTGGAAAAATAAGAGCTTAGTTTTGGATAAACAAGGTAAAGAATATTAAGAATATCTTGGAACTAAATTTGACTTTTCAACTATGATTCAGCTCATACATCTTCTTTGGACAATCACAAGTTTTTATTTTCAGCCAATTAATTTTTATCCTTACTGTTAATTTTTGTATATTTAACTGTTATTGGTGTTTTATTTACTTATTTTTTAACAAAAACATATTATGGATAGAATTTATTGACAAAGTGTTAACCATTTTAATACATTATACAGACATAAATTTTCTAAATTTCGGTGCTGGTCTAGTTGACCTCCGCCAGGAAGGCAATTCCCCCGCCACTCAAGTTTAGTTGACGCCCGCCACTTACATTTTGTATTTTCGATAACCAATAATTCATAATTTATACAATATTATACATTTATTAAAAATTATACAATTATGAACAATTCAAGCGATCAAAATAAAAATATATAAAAAATGTGGTAATACTTCATAATATTATATACCGCACCTGCTGTGATACCTATCTTATATAATTCATTTTACTACACGGATTGTACCAAACATAATTCTTAAAATATCTAATTAGAGAATTTCACACAAAACCTAACGTATATGATTTCGTACCTTTTTTATCCGCACTCTGCAGTATATCAGTAATATATACATTTTATAACATCAAAAATACGAGAGATGTAGGTAAGTGGCGAGCGTCAACTAAACTTGAGTGGCGGGGGAATTGCCTTCCTGGCGGGTCAACTAGACCAGTACCTAAATTTCAAACACAATTTATTTAAAAGATATAATTTAAAATAATAGTTTTATTAATATAGTTGGAAGTAATACTTCTAGTTTTAATAATATTTTGAATAATTTGTTTTTCTAATAATATTGAAGGTGTCTATTCTATCAAATATCTAGGAATATATATTAAGTCCCAATTAAAATAGAGCATACATATAAACCATATCATAAATTTAGGTCGTAAATTCTTTTATGTTTTTAAAGTCAAATTTATTTCAAATTTATTTCAAAGAAATATTACTAAGGTTTATTCTTGATAAACAACAACTTAGAATTATTTATGTTTTCTTCATTCAATCAATAATTGTATTTGGTATTGATGTACCTATGAGGTGGTGCTTATGAAATCCGCTTGAACAAATTAAAATCCACTATAAATAAATTTATTAAATTTATTTTAAAAGTTCCTATTCTTACTTGTACTAAATTTATTATTAAAGAATTAAATATCTTAGATTTTGATAAGATTCTCACTAAATGTATTTTACTATTAAGTTTTAAGCATCAAACGTATTTACCAACTTATTAATAATAATATTTATTGGCCAAAGATTGAATATTAATTACATAGTTAAATGGCCCATCTCACCACTGAGGATAACCTCTTATCGGTGATGATGGAGTATTATTTAAAGATGAGTTTGAATTTATAAATTTTATAATATTTTCAAAATGTTTTGTATAAACTGCATCATATTTCACTATAATTCAAAACCATAAACTTGTAAGCATAATAATACATAACTATAATACCATCAAGTATTTATAGACATTTTTTATTACTTTGTAACTATATTATGAACTCAAGCATTAGCTTAAACCAAAACACTGGACCCCGTCAACATAATATTGTACTTGATTATGTTATTTACTGTAAAAGTATATGCTATGTATTATTATTATTATATTATTTTACTATAATTATTAATAGAAAATATATATTTCATTTCGTTTATCAAACTCAGATTATAGTTGTATCATAATTCATTGCAAATATTTTTTCAGGTAGGTAATAATCTGTTCTGTTTTATTACAATAACCGAATCGCGAAAATACCAAATATACAGACAGCGTTAAATTATTATTATTATTATATTTACCTAATAGGTATTGTAATTTTTTAATATAAATTAATTGGAATACCAACTGGATAATTATTTTCAATTTAATACTGCTATTTTTTAAATATAAAGATTTGACAAAGATTAACACTGGACCTCATTGATTTATTATTTTAACCTTTAGGACTCCAATAGAAATTACTTGCCGACCTCTGGCTTATAGAATGTGTGCAAACAATCATAATTATAATAACTGTTTGCTTGTAAATATATATTCAACTATTAAACCATGTTTGTAAAATTAATTTACATGTTAAAATATATTATTCTACATAATTATATCTAATAATCATATATATATATATATATATATATATATATATATATATCTAAATCTCTAAATGTATTGCTGTGTAGGGATAACAAACCTGGGTAGCTATAACAAACCTGTACCAAACTTGTTTTTAATTGAGTTAAGTTTGAAATTTTTTTTATATTAACTTTAAATTGATAATTTGCTCCACTTAAACACAGTATGTTACAATTTTTGCGCCCTGGGTAACCATATTTTTAAGCCCCAACCCCACCAAAAAATAGATCCACTTTTTTGATTTTTCTTAATACACTTTAATTGTCAATTCGTCATGTTTTAATTACTATTATTAAAATGTAGGTATAAGGTATAACAAAATATAGTATATTATTATACACAGTAAAAAAAAAAATCTACAAAAAAGAATATAATAGGTATAATGATTATAATTTTTTTTCAAAATATTACCCCATCAAATTAAGGTACACCCATTGAAATCTGGAACACAGTCGCGTCACGCCAGTCGTGCAGTGCACACGTATATTGCTATCTCAATGTTATGTATAACTTAGTTATCTTAATATCAACGGAATCATACGTGCGCTTCACCCTCCGAAGCAGTTAATCGTGCTAATTCGACGTCGCAACCCAGATCAAGTCATCAACACCACCCTTTTTCCAAGGATAGTAGATATAAGTCACTTGTTTTAAAACAAAATTAATATAAACTATATTATTATTTCATATTATTGTATCAAACTACAATTATCAACAACTAATATACTAGTATATCTTATTATACTACTCCAAGGCACCGTCGCACACGGTGACCTTTGGACTTCGCGATTAGATTAAACCGTCCCATCATGTCGCAAGGCTGCTCCAATATTAATAATAAATCCGTATCGCCAATTACAATTATAAACAAGCAACAGGTAATCAAGCAAAAAAAAAAAGAGGCCTCAACGCAATCAAACAAAAGATCCCTACCTACATCACCAACGACACCAACAATGCCGCCCACTGGAATCACCAAAAAAACAAAGCTATTTGCCTCTCCTAATCGCTATAGCGCTCTCTCCAACACTGTTGAATCTGATGATAATGACGTCCCACCTGAGTCTCCTAGCCAGGAGCCATCTGATACCTCCACACATGCATCAACGAAAGTGCCATTGCCGCCACCCATTTTTATCAAAGGCGTATTAAATTACTCAGCCCTACTCTCCGAACTTACAGAACTAACCGGGCCAACCAGCTTCGTATGTAAATCGACGTCTACCCACTTAAAAGTACAAGCCGAAAAATCTGATGACTATAGAAAAATAATCCATTTCCTAAATGAAAATAACGCATCATTCCATACCTATCAGCTTCAATCAGAGAAATCTTACAGAGTGGTCATAAGAAATCTCCACCCCTCCACCCCTACTGCTGATATCTCCTCAGCAATTGAGGAAATTGGGTTCTCAACCAGGCAAGTCACAAATATAAAGCATCACCAAACAAAAATGGCTCTTCCCATGTTCTTCGTTGATCTTGAGCCTGACCCCTCCAACAAAGACATCTTCAACATCAAGTCAATCCTACACACATTAGTCAAAATCGAGGAACCCCACAAACGCCGTGATATTCCACAATGCCTTAACTGCCAATCCTACGGGCACACAAGAGCTTACTGCTCCTACCCCCCACGATGTGTTAAATGTGGTGAAGACCACCCAACTTCACTATGCAAAAAAACGCCTGACACTCCCGCTACCTGCGCGCTGTGCTCCGGCAGTCACCCAGCCAACTACAAAGGTTGCACTGTCCACAAGGAGCTCCAAAACCGCCGCCGTCACCCACCCACCTCATCCAAACTCACTCAGAAACCCCATCAAAAGCAGCCTCCTCAATGCCCAGCTACTCCATCAACCAGCTCACCATCTTCCAATCTTCAATCAAACACGTGCCTCAGATCTTATGCCAATGTAACAGGTAACGACACCACTCATAATCAATTTTGCGACAACCACTCCCCCAAAACTGATATTGTTGTTTTCTCTAAGTTTTTAGATGAACTAAAATCTGTTATCAATCCTCTAATTACTCTCCTCACCTCTGTCATCTCCAAGCTCCTTGATACTAAACAAAATGCCTAACTCCTATACTTCTAACTCTCTCCTCACCCTTCTATGGAATGCTAACGGATTAAAGAATCACACAACTGAACTTCTCCTCACCCTTCAGGAAAAAAGAATTGACATTGTCCTTATATCTGAAACCCACTTCACCTCTAACTCGTACGTCAATTTCCCTGGTTACGATTCCTACCGTGCAAACCACCCAGATAACACTGCTCATGCAGGAGCAGCAATATATATAAAATCTTCACTTAAATACATACCACTCCCAAACTTCATATCCGACGACATCCAATCCTGTGCTATATCTCTGATACTTGATAATATCCCTATTACATTCGCAGCTGTTTATTGTCCACCGAAACACAAAATCTCCCCGGCCAGATTCACTGAAATTTTCTCCACACTCAACAATAACTACATCATAGGTGGCGATTTAAATGCAAAGCACCAACAGTGGGGCTGTCGTGCCTCAAACCCCAGAGGAAATTCTCTCCTCCAATCACTACCATCTACCAACTCTACCGTCATTGCACCTCCAAATTACACATACTGGCCTAACTCCCGTCGAAAAATGCCAGACATCCTGGATATCTTCGTCACTAAGATTCCAAGGAACCTCCACACTCAAATATTTAATCTCATTGACCCATGCTCAGACCATTCACCAGTCATGCTTTCACTAGACTGTCTTCCCCAAGCTAAAGCCAACGCCTCAGCTCTATCTCAATTTCCAACTGACTGGGACAAATTCAGTACAATCCTATCGGAAAAAACTTGCCTTAAACTCCGCCTAAAGACTCCCTCTGATATCGACGACGCAGTAAACCTACTCACAACTAATATTCAAACCTCTGTTTGGGACTCAGCCAAACCTGTGCCCTTGCACGTTAAGCCTTCCCCTCATCTTCCCTCCTACATACGAACTCTCATCTCACAAAAACGTCGCGCTCGTGTTATTTGGCAAAGAACTCGATATCCTATCGACAAATCCCTTTACAATGCACTCACCCAAAAGTTGAAACGTCTGCTAGCTAACCTTAAATCGGAGTCTTACGCAAACTATATTTCTTCTCTCACTGGCATGGATGGCTCCCTATGGAAAGCCACTAGGAAACTACTACGAATTCACAATTCTCCCCCTACTCTACGTAATGCTGATGGTAGCTGGGCACTGTCTGAACAATCTCAAGCCAACATATTTGCCAACCACCTATCTAACACATTTCAACCACATCACAATATTATCTCTCCAACCAAAATCCAGGAAGTTGAAAGCTATCTTAACTCTCCTCTTCCAATGTATCCGCCTCCTAGAGCTTTTACCCCTGGTGAAGTTGAATTTAATCTTAAGAAAAACTCACCGAAAAAATCTCCTGGTTTTGACTTAATTTCGACGGAAGTGGTCAAACACCTTCCCAGAAAAACCATAATTTTCCTAACACAAATTTACAATGCTATGCTTCGTTTATCATACTTTCCTATATTATGGAAATATTCTATCATAATACTAATACCAAAACCAAAAAAACCCCCTGACTGTCCTTCCTCATATAGGCCTATAAGTCTCCTACCAACTCTCTCCAAACAATTTGAAAAACTTTTTCTCAAACGAATACTGCCAATAGTTGATGAAGCTAAAATACTACCTGACTCTCAATTTGGTTTTCGCAACAGTCACTCAACGATCCATCAGATTCATCGCCTGGTTGACAAAATTTCATTTGCCCTAGAGGAAAAATTATACTGCACTGGTGCTTTCCTTGACGTCTCCCAAGCTTTCGATAGAGTCTGGCACTCAGGCCTCCTATATAAATTAAAACCTATCCTTCCTAGTCACTACTATCTGATCCTCAAATCCTACCTCGAAGATCGGTTCTTCTCCGTACGTGTAGGTTCTTCCTTCTCCTCTCCTACTGAAATAAAAGCAGGCGTTCCACGAGGCGCAGTAATTGCTCCCCTACTCTTCAATCTCTACATCTCCGACCAGCCTACTTCACCCCATACCTTAGTCGGTGATTTTGCTGACGACAAAGCCATACTAACAACCAGCCCTGATCCTGTTTTAGCCTCCTCCTACATACAAGATCATCTCTTCTCCCTTGAATCGTGGTACAAAACATGGGGAGTAAAAATGAACGAAACCAAGTCCATCCACGGTACCTTTGCACTTCGTCAAGGAGTATGTCCAACACTTTATCTCAACAACCAACCACTTCCCCCTGCGCAATGCGTACGTTACCTCGGTATCCTTATCGACCGCCGTCTCACTTGGAAACCTCACATAATTAACAAAACTCGTACACTAAATGACCGCTTCCGGCTCCTTCGTCCACTTCTAACATCAAAGCACATGAAACCTTCCAACAAACTCCTGCTCTACAAACTCCTACTCAGACCCATCTGGACTTATGGGATTCAACTATGGGGCGCTGCCAAAATCTCCAACATCAACCGCATTCAAAGATTCCAATCCAAAACTCTACGCACAATTCTAAAAGCACCATTCTATGTCTCTAACCACACCCTCCACACTGATCTCAAAATACCATTTGTCTCTGAACTAGCCAAAACTCATTATAAACGTTTCAATAACCGCCTAGCTCACCATAAGAATCCGTTAATCTCCGACCTATCATCTGCTTCTATCCCAGGTAACCCAGTTAAAAAAATTAAAAGACAGTGGTGTCGCGACCTGCTAGCCTAATTTAGTCCTACTCATGTCGTAGTACCTCCGCTGGGAGGCCTCTACATTCGGGATAATCTGTCATTTATTTTTATTTTATTTTATTTTTACTTTCATCAATTGTTCTTATTGTTCATGTATTGAAACAGATTGAATAAATATTTTAATTACAAAAAAAAAAAAAAAAATTAAGGTACAAATCATAGTACAAGTTCTTTCCAAAAAAATATTTATTGTTACAATATTACACTGGACTACAGAGCCACAGCGGTGATCAGCTGCCCCCCTAAATATTTGGCCGCAAATGTCCCCGTTGCCCCCCTCATAAATAGCATTACATAGCATTCCATGTGACATCTCCACCACACAACTTAATTTTTTCCATGATACACACTTACAGTCACAAATTAGATATCCAATAGACAACAGTAAACATTTTTTCACAGTTGGTATTTTCAGTTAGTATACCCTATAAAAATAGGAATAATTTCAATGTTTGCAAAAACTTGGTATGTGATATAGAAATATAATACATAGCATTTAATCTGTAGTATTAGTATATCAACTAAAATTGATGTGCACTTATAACTTTTTACCCACTTAGATCTCTTAGTGCACTTTTTCCTTCTAGCACTTTTTCCTTTAAAAAATAAAACAGAATTTTTAAAAATTGGCACTAAATTTTCACAGTAAGTTGAGAAATATCTACTAGAGAATACAAATATATTAATGATTTATTCTTCAAGGTACATGATTATAATATTAAGTAAATAGAAAAAAATAATTGAAAACTAACACTTTTGAGAATTTGATTTTCTTTAAGACAATTCTACAGGCCAAGTATACATTATAAATATTGCAATTATTCAAGTAAGTTATAAAAACATGACAAGAAATATTACCATCTTTACCAAAGACTAAAATTGAAAAAAAAATAAATGAAGAAGTTAGAAAAATGATGGGTGACATTTTTGCTTGTATAGAACCAGAGTTGATTGGATTTATTCAATATCATGAAAGAATGGATAGCACGTAACTATGATTATAAATATTTTTTATTTTAATTTTTTATATATATACTATATTATTTTAGTTATTCAATGGCTGTGTTAGTAAGACTGGGCCGTCATGTTATGTCTGCTAATGATACCGGCTCCTTTTTAAGTATGACTTATGGGTCTGCATTAGTTCATGTAAAAAGAAATTATGATAAACTCATGCACGCTCACTTAAAATCAATTCAAGAAGTAAGAATTATTAAAAAGTCTAAATGTGGCATACTTCCTTTTGTTGCCAACTTTGAGGTAACTACAATATTGTTTGTAATTTTTGTTGTTAATTTGACATAATTTTAAAGCTGTCATATCATTTTTTTTTATTGTTTACTATTAATTTTTGTAGTATTTTGCCAAGACAGCTGAACAAATATTTAAAGAAACAGAGCGTCGAACTGATTTAGATAAATGGTATCTTAAACTCTTAACTGTAATGTTTGAAACTATTCATTCAATTGCCAGTGAACACCCTAAGAGTCCCGCCGAAGTTATCAGAATGGGTAAGAACCATAAATAGTTTTAAATTTAAACTAAATTAATACTAATAGTTCATTCATGGATTTAGAGAACTTTCACCATTTATATGCATTGCTGTCTCAATTAAAAATTGGTATTAAAAGATCAATTCACAAAAGATGCAAAACAAAAGTATAGTGAGGCATTAAGTGCTTATGTAACACGTTGTTTTGGTAGACCGCTCGAAAAACTGAATGTGAGTACTGACTTTAATTAATTTATACTATGAAAAGTTTATTTTGTTTTACATCTAACATACTTCTTCATTTTGAACATTTTGTTTAATGTTTAGTTATTCTTTGAGGTTGAAGCTAAGGTTTCACAAGGCATAAAAGAATCAGAAGTTGGTTATCAAGTGGCTTTCAGTAAACAAGAATTAAGGAAAGTAACTAAAGAGTATCATGGACGAGAGGTGAAAAAAGGCTTCGATCATTTATATAAAAAAGTAGAAAAACACCTTAGTGAAGAAGAAAATTTACTGCAAGTAATTATTATTAATTGTTAATTATGTAATTATATAATTATTTGTTATTCATCATAAACCATTGATTATTTTTGAACCCACAATATTATTTTATTATTTGCATTAACTATATTTTGTACTGATTAATATACCCAAGACTAAACAATTTTGTTTTGGATTCTGAGCGGAGCAATGATTTTACAATGATGTGTTCTTTTAAATTTTTTTATTGTTTGTGTGTGTACACTACAAGTAGTTGAAATAATGCTTTGATTATCAACTTCAGTATCTTGTTTGATGGAAAAGTGAATCTAGTTGGTGCATTGCATCAAGGATGTCAAAATTTAAAATTACCAGTATTTTTCAAAAACGCCAGAAAAAAAAAAAAAAAAAAAATAAGAAAAAACGTAAATTTTTACGCTAAATCGGTTTTTGACAAAATTGATTTTGGTTTTTGGTGTAACTCGAAAACAAATGAGTATAAATACATAGAATTTTGATTGAATATTTATATTGACATTTTCTATACACCATAAAACTTTCAATATCTTTTGATTCGTTTTGAGCTGTTTACGGCCATTTTCAATTTTCAAGTTTTTGTTTTATTTTCTATAATAGTCAATACGATTTTATTTGTTGAGTCAAAAAGTATGGAAATTTAATTCAAGGTTCCTAATATATTAGTTACTTTAGCAGTTGAAAATATTAAAAATTCATACACACAATTTTTTTTCACAAGCATTGAAAGTTTGAATTTTGTCAAAATTAAAAAATTATGTTGTAGTTAAAAATTTACAAAATATTCAACTTTTATAGCTAAGGATTGAAAATTTATAATAAGGTTCCACGTAAATAGGTAAATAAATTACTAAATTTACAATAATATCATCAAATATACTTAGTAATATCAATGGCTGACTGACTGTCTTCGCTCAGAATCGTTTTTCATATACAATGATATTATATCATTGAGTTCAAATTTAACACCATCCATTAGAGTGATCCACTGTACAGCAGAACGGCACACACTTGCCTACCTTTTTTACCTTTATAATAAAATAAATGTAATTTAATCTATATTATAATTTTAAATTTTTTTCAGATGGTTTGGAGAGCTATGCAAGAATCCTGGTTCCATGATTTCATTAGAATTTTCCATTGAAGATCTATTACAGTATTTCTCAGAAATTGCTAGATCCCATTAGAATATTTAAATATTATAATCAAAAATATAATATAACATAACATGTTTAAACTTTAAATTGATAATCTGTTGTATTATCATTTTATCTATTTTAATTTTAACTTATTTATAAATAACATTATTTTGAGAAAACATTTTAATTTTGTTAAAAGTTATGTTCCCAAGCCTTTCTAATATACTTTATCCCTTTTTATATTATACAATGTAAATTGTAATTATGTTTAACGTTTTGAAAATTATATATTTCTGAGCATAAAATACTGTATGTATTAAGTGTTATACATATTTTTATAATAAAAAAGTCATAAGTACTCAACATGTTTTTGAAGGTATAATATGTAGCTAAAAAAATATCATTGGTTGTTGATAAACCAATGTGTGTACAATAAGTAAATTTAATAATATGAGGCGGTGAATGAAGAACAAATGAGTAGGCATTTCACATTAGAAATGCCTGATATTTTTTTCACTTTTAAAAATATTTTTATAATTTCTTATAAGTATAACAATGTATTTATTTTAGGTTGGCTGCGTAGTGTGTATGCTTAGAATGCATATACCTATATTGTATTATGTTCAATAAAATTATAAAAACTGATTATCAATGAGAATAATTAGTGATCATTTAATATTTATGTTTCTCATGTTATTCACAGTAGCCTCTAATCCAGATGGTGCAACGTGGTTAGGCTTAGGGGACGGTTAGTCCCCTGAGTATGATTTAGCCAGCCCAAAATTATCAATTATTGGTTTAGATATAAGCCCTATGGGTATTTTTAATTAACAGTTTTGTTAGGTGGGATGTAGCCCCCCCAGAATTTGAACCCTACTACCCTAGTGTGGTAGATTGTATATCTACTAATTTATTGTTAGGTACGTATGAATAAATTAGACTAGTTGACTCATGCTAGCAAGTATATAATTCTTAGTAATGAAACTGCATTTACATTGCAGACCACAATCATTTCTGTAAAAGAACAAACGATTTATCAATAGCCCGTTTATGTGCTGAGTGTAGAAGTTCTATGGATTTATCATATTAAAAAATATATTTTATATCATCTATGGCAATCGCCAATTGTCGACATTCGTCTGCGACGATTAACAATTCTAATAATTTTAGTGAAAAAAAAAAATAATAAGCCATCAATATGGACAGATAGTTCGTTAAGCCGTATATATTATTATGTAAGTTTTAACACGAATTCGCACATTTCGTTATGTTCAGGTAATTTTCATAAAATATTTCGATAATTTCAAGTTACAGTTCGGAACGAGATGAAGATAGCTGTTTCTTCGGTGGCGTCACGTACTGGACGTTTGCGTTGTTGATGATGCACTCTAGCTAGGTTTCACCGGGAGAGTCTATGTTTTAGGGTAAGTTTGTTTTCATAATTTCATATTATTTTGGGATTTACGTTTTATTTTTAAGCATTTTCATAATTAAAAACATAATATAACGTAATGTTGTAGTAGAAGCTGGAAACTGTAGTAGGTACCTATATTCTAATTAATAATCCAATTAATGTAATTTTTTGAATTTTTTAAATTTTATGTAACATTTTTTATGCCTATACAAAACACTTACCTACCAAAATTGAATTTTTCTCAAAATTTGTTGTTTTAACGATAAATGACAATTTTAGGTCCCTATTATAGTGAAAGTATTTAATACAAACATACAATTATTATTCGAAAATACATTTTCCTATATTATTATTTACTAAATACAAAGAAACTTAAAAATAAACAATATGATCATTGATTACATACAGAGTAAATA